AACCTGCATGAACAGGTGTCCCAAAGTCCTTTCTGGGTTAGACCTAGGAATACCTGAAAATCTCTACCCTTTTCTTCTCAGCTTTATATCTGTGATCAGTGAGGAAGCTTGTAACAGACAAGGCTCTGAACAGGCAGTTCACAAAGAGGCAACAGGAGGGAAGAAAACACCATGTGTCTCCTCTACATTGGGTGCTCTGAGTGCTAGGCTGAACCTGACATGACTTCACTGACTCCTCACCAGAGCCCTGCGAGGTCTTGATAAAGACTCTTGTCTTACACATGGGGAGGCTGAAGATGCCAGGGACTTGCTGAAAGTCATACAGTTTCTGTGTAAAGTCTACAACATACTACTTACAAGCATGTAGTGGAGACAAGGAGGCTCTGGATAGGCCTCCTGAGACCAACCCTCCTAGGCTTTGTCATATTCTGATTGAGTTTCCTTCAGTGTTTATTTGGGAAGTGCTTAAACTGCCCAGACTGGCCTGGGGAAGGAAGAAAAAGGTGATACCACCCCAGCATAGCCAGAGTGCCGAGACAGGCCTGAGAAGCTAACTGGCGGCAAGGCCTTGCCAGCCAACAATTTTGGAGAAGCTGATTGAACTGGGGAGGGCAGGAAGGGAAGCATTCAAGACAGGATTTGTGAAGAAATTCTATGTTTCAACTTCCTTTCTGGCCAGGTCTTTGCCTTCTACCTTTCTCAGACTGAGAAGGATTTTCAGCCAGATGGGAAGTTAGACGCTATGAAAATCAACTCTTGTTATAGGTAGGGAAGCTGAAGCTCAGAGAAGGGAAGTAACTTCTCTAAAGTCACCCAGCAGCCGACTGCAAGAGTGGAGGTTCTCTGATTTGTATTCTGCCTGCATATTAATGCATTCATTTGCTCATTCATTCATGGGTCATTGAATGCATAAAGACTCAGTTCAACAACAGTCATGGTCCCTGCCCAGAGGGAGCTGACATCGAAGTAAAGAAGTAATTCAGTATTAGAAGGGTGTAAAAATAAGATGCTGTGATATGGTATGAAGGCGATGGTGCTATTAGATTGGTGCAAAAGTAATTGCCATTTTTGCCATTACTTTCAATGGCAAAAACCACAATTATTTTTGCACCAACCTAATATCTTTGGTCAGACTACTGAGGGAGGTAGTGATACTTGAGAAAAGACCTGGACAATGAAAAAGAGCTGGCCAGGGAAGGGCAGTCAGAGTGGAGGACCATTAGTGGCTAAAGACACAAAAGTAGGAAAACAGAGTATATGAGGAACCGATAAATAAAGAAGCCAATGAGAGTGAGGAGGAGAAGGGAACCATGTAAGATCTGAGAATTATATAGAAATCAGATCATGCGGTAAGGACTTTGGATTTTATTCTAAGACATATAATTTTTTGAATATTTGCCTTGAGTGAGGTGCAGCAGAAAGCACAAAAGATAAAGCAGACATGAAACCATCCCTAATGGGTGTTTGAGCTCAGTGGGAAAGTGTTACAGACAGAATTTTAGAGAAGATATTAGAGGTAACTGGATCGTGCTAATGATAGAATGAGAGCAAGGGTAGGAGACAGGGATGGATAAAGCACGGGGGAGTTAAGGACAAGGAGATTGTTCAAGTGTGGAAGGTGGGAGGTGGGGGACAATAGGCAGGAAAGATGGTGAAATACAAGTGAGTGAGAAATTTGATTCAGCATATATGTATTCGGCACTGAGCATCTCAAAGGTGTTAGGTCATGTGCTGGGACTTTTGCATGTTTCTTCTTGCTTGATCCTCACAAAAAATGCGATATGAAATATGGTATTTTAAAAATCCTCCTTTCATAGATGTAGAACCTAAGATCATGACAGTGGAGGGATTTTTCCCAAAATCGTTCACCGAGTGTGAAGCAAACAAGGATCCCAACCCGAATCTTCTGGCTTTCGTGATAGTACTGTCCACACTCTACCCCAGTGGTTGGATTTTGACTTGGCTTTCCTCTCAGTTTCCCTGTTTGGACTGGAGGGTTTTCTCTCTATGACACTTCCAGTTCTAACATTCTGTGCTTCTCTTCAAGGTAAAATGAATAGGAGCAAATATTCTAGATTCTAGATGGAATATCCTAGGTGTATTCCACAGAGTCACAGAGGCTGGAAAGTAAATGTCCTAAACAGAGAACAGCAAGTAGCTGTGAGCAAGAGAGGTGCTGCTTGGAAAAAGGGACTGTGGAAATGCTTACCACAGCATCAAGCACTTAGGAATTTAAACTGAAAAGAGAAACAAAGACTTGTGGTAGCCATAAATACAAAGAGTCAGAGAGAGATGGAGCAATGCATAGAAATTTATTCATTCTGTGGCTTAGGCCCTGTGAAAACAGAAATAAACACGATTGACCTGGTCCCTGCCTTATGGGCCACAGAAGTGGTGGGAGGATAGACCAAAAAAATAAAGGAGAGGGAGCGGGAGAGAGAAAGAGAGAGAATAATTGAGCACTTAGCATATGTCAAGCACTGTGTGAGGTGTTTTCATGAGTTATTTCATGTATTCCTTATCACAACCTCAGGAGGTCTACACTTTTATTTTTCCCATTAAATGAATGAGTTCATTGAGACCCAGAGAAATTGTCACATGTTCAAGGTCACATCTCAAGTAGATGAGAGAGCTGGGGTGTATACTTTAATCTTTCTGATGTTCCATTCTACGTTTTAAATTATTGCAAAATTTCAGGATGGAGAGAGGTTGGGAGGGAAAGTGGTCAAAGAGGCAGAGAAAAAAGAAGAGCTAGACATTGAGAATGAGTACACAAGTACATGGGAGAGAGGGATAGAAACAAAGATTCTCTCTGAGACTACGTGACCACTTGGAGACCCTGCCCAGGCAGGAGGCAAATGAGGTCATTAAATCCATCTGCGCAGATTGGAGACTCTCTGGGGAAAGTGATATGCAAATGTCATGATGCAATGAGGTGAAATCTACTTGCGTTAGTTCAGGCGGGGACTCAAGCAGGGACTGCACTGTGCTCTTTGGAAAGATAGATTATCTGCTGGATGGGGAAGACACTCGCTCTGTTGGGCTCTTCCTATCAGTTTTCAGAAAGGAAAGCTGGCCAAGGTCACAGAACACATGAAGGAACGAACTGGAAACTGGATTGAACTCAGTCCTCTCACTTTTTCGTATGCTAAAATCTGCTTCCCAGGTCCTTCAAATTTTGTGCAAAACCTCCATATGATCTGTTCCCTACTCAGGATTCCAAGCCTCCCAGAAGGTGGTCTAGCTTCCCTGAGACATGCTTTTTGTTTTCATCATTGCCTACTAAAATCAAAGTGACTAATATGTGCAGAGACTTATGGTTTCTCAAAGGACACTTCCACATCCTTTCTTTCACTTGATCACGTATACATCAGATATTCCATTACACAATTCTATTAATCGACTTTGCTATAGTGCACTACAATTTTCCACCCATGATTTTACTCAGCTCCTATAGTTTACAGTACAAAGTGGGTCTTATTATATCAGCTCTACATAGGGACCTGAGGCTCAGAGATAAGTAGCCTGTTTTACTTTAAATACCAGACTTGACACTTATTATTACTTTTGGCAAATTCTTATTCTTTTCTGAGCTTTAGTTTCCCCATCAATAAAAGGGTGATTGTTGCAGCATCTGTCTTACAGAGTTATCAAAAGTGTTTTCTTGTTTGGAAATCACTGAGTACATTGCCTTACCCCATAGCAAATGCCTGACCCATAGCAAGTGCCTCTGTAAATGAAAACTGCTGTGATTATGATCATGGTGCTCTCGATAAAAGTTATCACCAGGATATAGCAAGAAGCAGAACCATGACTTGAACTTGAACCTTCTGCTCCTCAAATCCAGTGATTGTATCGCTGCCCCCCACTGCCTTCCTGATCATTACTGCTTCAGACCAAACTGCCTGATTCACTTCTTCTCTCTTTCTGCAGGTCACCCCATTCCCTATGTCCTGTGACCTACAAGGTGACTGTGCTTGTCGGGACCCCCAGGCCCAAGAACACAGCCGGAAAGACCTCCGGGGATACAGCCATGGCTAAGGAAGGACAAGGAGTTGTCAAAGAATTCCCAACGCCAGGACCCGCATCCCTTTGGTATTGATTTCACAGTCAGCTGCTCAATGGAATGGCCTCTCCACACCAGGGATCCTTAGCACCCAACCGGTCTGCCTTTAATTTTACCCAGGAAGGACTCACAGTGGGGTGAATGAACCAAGTTTCGCCATGCTGGATGATGAAATGGATTCCCATCCCAAAGTCTGAGATGGATTGCATATACAGTGTGCAGTCCCAGAGCCTCCTAAAATTCTAGCCATTTGTCACACAACCACAGCAAGAAACATGTTCTATATCTAGAGTGTGCCCATCTGTGGTTAGTACACATGCATGCATACACACCCATACAAACATCTGTGTGAGGGCAGTTCTGGAGATGAGCAGAGAGAGACTGGAATAAACTCAATCTTTTCTTTCCCAAGCTCCTAGCCAACACTATCCTTGGGAGAAAGAAATTTGCAGAAACTGCTAAGACCAAGTGTGGAGATGTCAAGATAGTTCACACCCTGAGGCTCGGAATATGTAGGACATGCACAATTGTACAGTCCTTTGGGATTGGCAGTGAAATAGTCTGTGATCACCTATCTTCTAGGGAACTAGGAGCTAGGAAGAGGTAAAGATTATAAGGTATGCAAAGCGCCCCAATTCTTCTGCTGCCATGGGGGATTTTACCCCAACTCCAGGGTTCGAGGCCAATCTGAGAATGGCTTAGGATTGCAATGTCAAGGTATTATGTCAGCCCCTTGCTTGAGGCTTGAGGTAATAATATCCCTCTAGGACTTACCTGTTCCCTCAAATCTTGCCTTGGGACCACATTTGCTGCTACTTTTCCTGCTGCTCTATCCTATACATTGAATAATCCAAGATGGTAGAACTAGGTTAGGAAAAATTCCACACAACCAAACAGTCTGCCTTAAAAGTGACCCACATTTTTCCATAGCTCCTCACTTTTTAGCCCTTCTGCAAGAGAAAAACCCTTATGGGTCCACATGGTGAGAAGTTAAGTTTCCTGTAAGTGGGCCTCTCACCCTGGAAAGGAGTTGAGGGACATCAGATGCTGGAACCCTCACTGAAAGTCCAGAATGTCTAAGCCAGTGTTAGATTTTGTAAACAAGTGGAACAGTGTTAAATTTCTATGATGTTGGAGCCATCCAGAGACTATTGGAATTGTCGAGACTCTTGGATTATTATCCTTATCCTAATCTTCCTAGCCCTTCAGGCTAGAGTAGGCTTTGGTCCTGAGAACTTCGCTGTTGCTCTGAGGAGATATAATTCTGGGAGAAAGAATCTTTTATAAGAATAGTATACATTGTTCTCGAGAGGGCCATCAGAAGCCAAAGAGTTCACAGCCTCAGCACCAACAACTCAACATGGTCATCGTGTTTCCTATATGGTTTTTCCAGCTACCAGTACTCCCTTCCATACCTGTGACTGGGCAATGCTTTTCTCTCTCCCATGTCTAGCCTCCAAAAATTAAGTGAAAATTAGCCAACTGTATGTGGAAGCCCCCACTACTTTGGGGATCTCTTTGTTTCTTTTCAGCCAGGTACTTGTCCACTCCCTTTGAATTAATATGGGAAGAAATTAATACAGGATGAACTGGAGAGAAAGGTTGAGTGTGACATGCTTTCTGAAACCTGGAGCTGGGAATTGAGGTGAAGGGAAGGTCTAGACTAGTTATATCACATAGGGATTACTGTAAATCAAGTCATCTCAAGTCTAGTGAAGACAGCCAACAGAAACAAAACCTAGCGTAGGGATAGAAAATACCACGCACGTGTGCAGCCTCACCTAACTCCTGCATCCAAGGCAGGTGTTGTTAATTTATCATAGTCTTTTTTCAAGAAAAAAAATGGGACCAAAAATAACTTTAGGAACCACCATATTATATCACTCCCAGTAGCACTTAACTGGTGATCAAAAACGCTTGAGAAGACATCTATTGGCCATCTCTGGCCAATTACATTAAGAAACATATCGCCGAGCGCAGTGGCTCACGCCTGTAATCCCAGCACTTTGGGAGGCCGAGGCAGGCGGATCACGAGGTCAGGAGATCGAGACCATCCTGGCTAACACAGTGAAACCCTGTCTCTACTAAAAATACAAAAAAAAATAGCTGGGCGTGGTAGCGGGCGCCTGTAGTCTCAGCTACTTGGGAGGCAGGAGAATGGCCTGAAATAGGAGGCAGAGCTTGCAGTGAGCCGAGATAGTGCCACTGCACTGTAGCCTGGGTGACAGAGCGAGAATCCGTCTCAAAAAAAAAAAAACACACATCAAGGTGCTTTTGGCACAGGTGCCCACAAATACGGATGCAGTGCTGAGATAGTTTATGAGACTTATACCATTTCACAAACTCTGAAATTGGGTTCCATATTGGCAAGACTGCAACAGTTGATTAGAATAATCCTCTATGCTTTTTCCTTACAAAACCATATCTCATTTATATCCAGACCATTACTTCACTGTAATTACAAGGACCAATTATTAGCAAGAAATAAGAATAATATTAGAAGAATCAATCCTATTCTGAACCCCTCTCCAGTATCTTCGCACTCTTGCCAACTCTCCAGGCCTCTCTCTTGCTCTAGCTATCAGCCTGTGTGATGTTAACTTAGAAGGTACAAGCTAAGAAAGGTAACAGTATCAACCCTCCCAGTTGCTTAATTATACCCATAGGTAATACAAAAAACTTTGAAGACCCAAAGATGACATTACTAATGATGTGATTTCAGGAGCCACAAAAGAACCTTACCAGCTTCCCTCAAATCAGTCCTTATCCTCTTTCTATCTTCACTCCCATCATCATCTATTCCCACACTATCCAGCTAAGCAAAGATTCCTGGAGGCTGACTTGTATCTTCAGACTCACAGAGTGAATTCAGCTCTTCTGAATTAAGACCCACTCAGTCTCTTTCATTCAGACCCGTTGCTAACAAACATATATTTGCCAAGGATATTAGGCAAAAGAGGCTACTTGATTGGTGGCCAACCTCATACCCACGTGGAAGGTATCATTAATAGGGTCTTTTCAAACCTTAGTGGAGGAGTGTCAGCTCAATTTGAGCAATGCATTTATTCCCAGTTTCATTTTCCTCCTGGGAATTAACTCATTGTTTCATTCCTTCAGTCATCTTCTGTTTAGGTGACCGGAGCACTGAGAGGCAGCTCTGATGCACTATTGTGTATCAGCAGCTCAAAGGCCCTAAAACACTGAAGGTTCTGCATTTGAAGTATTAGATTGTTAGCAGCAAAAAAGAAAAGATGAGGTGGACAGTTCTCTAAGCCCTATTTAGGGAACCTTTTCCAAGTCACAATGTTAACTACCTACCCAAAGGATTTGCATTGCCCCCCCAGATTCTGTGCCAATAACCTTTTAAGGAAATACAGTCTTTGGGAAATCAGTTTCGATGGTGAATTGGGGTGTCAAGGAAGGGAAAGATTAATGGTCATAGATGGTAGGGCTTTGAAAATGTAGGGTATCAGCTGCCACTCCTGGCTTCAACACATTGAGTCACTGCCTAGACGGTTCTCTTGGTCTTATTCCCACCTCGGCCAATGCTTAAACGCTATTTGTTGAAAATAATTCTTTGAGACACATTTCAGCTACCTCCTTTCCAGGTTCGATTTAACTTGGTTGCAATTGTCAATTTGTTATAGGTGTTACCTGTGTGAAAGAAAGAAAGGAAAGAAAGAAAGGAAAGAAAGAAAGGAAAGAAAGAAAGAAAGAAAGAAAAGAAAGAAAGAAAGAAAGAAAAGAAAGAAAGAAAGAAAGAAAAAGAAAGAAAGAAAGAAAGAAAGAAAGAAAGAAAGAAAGAAAGAAAGAAAGAAAGAAAGAAAGAAAGAAAGAAAAAGAAAGAAAGAAGGAAGGAAGGAAAGAAAAGGAAGGAAGAAAAAAAAGGAAGGAAGGAAGAAAGGAAGGAAATTATAAGGTCAAGTTAACAGTTTTGAGGTTTTGTGTTTTTTTCTGGAACTACTTCAAGTGAGAAAATAAAAAAAAAATGGTGACAAAGCTGTACAGATAGAGATTAATAGAAGACAAAGAGATTAAAAGGAAATAAAAATGCATGATTAAAAAATAAGAATAAAAAACCTATTTTTATGTTTCCTAAAGGAAATTGTTTATTCTACAGACTCAGTAGGTAGACACAAACATAAACATTTCCCTAGAAGACATAGAGTGGGATTTGATAACACTGTCTGTTATTTTCTGTACATTGTGGTAGGTCCAGGAAATACGACATTTTCTCCCTTGATGTGTTATTGTTGTTGTTGGGGGGGTGGGCATTTTGTTTATTTGTTTGGTGGCAATCAGTGGTAGTAGGGAGTGGGAGGGCTTGATATTGTTTTTTCCAGATACTAAGGGGACATATTGTGTCGTTGTGCTTTTCACGTTATAAAATGTTTATATTTACCAGTACAGCACTGGGCTTTATAAAGACTGCACTCAGAACCACACTGCACAGTCCAGTTTTTTAAAAAGCTGCTACATGATCAGACAGGTAATCCCAGTGAGTTTTGAGAAACAAAGCAAACGAAGTAAACAACAAACATAAAAACCAAATAGCAAATGAATAAAAGCTTGTTCTTGTAATTTATTCAACTTTTGCCAATTCCTATGAATCACTTGCTTTTTAAAAGAAATGTATAATAGCCAAAAGAGAAATTATGTCCCTATTGTAAAGAACTTAGAATTTTTGACTCCAGGCAGCAGTTTGCTCAGTGATCTTTAACAAGTTATCCAGTTGCCTCTACATTTGCATCAGTTTCTCTAGCTGCAAAATGGGGATAATACTATATACCTACCTCAGAGTGGGAGGGCAGGAGATTTTGAGGCCCTGAGGTTTTAGGCGGGCTGTGAGGGCCAACGCTTGACACAAAGTCCATGGATTATTATTCAAGAATGCACAGGCCCATTGGCCTTTTCAGAAAGACAAGGAGTGCTTGTTTGATATTTCAAGGAATAAAGCTGGAGCTCCTGAATTGTAGTCCATCTTAAAAGAGAGACCTGTATTGGAGAATATTTTATTGTTTCGGCAGATTTGATCTTACCCTTTACCAGTTTTATGATTTGGTTTAAAGCTGATTATGTCCTACAATGTCAAAGTCAGCTAACTGTCGTCTACTTAAGACTTCCAGTCATTTTTAACTTACAGAGGAAGGGAGTCTCTAAAATCTCTTCTTCAGAAGGCACCTCACTTCTCAGACTTGAAATTCCACATCAAGTGTTCCATTAAAAGAAGATAAGGCATTCTGAGTGCAAACAAATGGGGGCTTCTTAAACTACACACCAGCAGTCAGTGAGGAAACCTTTGAACAATTATTGAGTTGCTTTCTTGGGTCTCTATAATCAATAACCTGTCCGCAGATATCTATCTATATAAAGATATTATATATAAATATAAATTTACATATATATGCACATGTATATATAGTTGTACATATATGTGTGTATATATATACTTAAATGTAATATTTACAAAATAAAACTGTGATCTCGTCTAGAGAAAATGTATTCATATTACAAACTGCTCTTCCATATTTATGTATCATATTATACCTTTTTATTATTGTTATAATTATTATGGGTATTTCTAATTAATATGATGTTGAAACCTGTTTGGCACCTTCTGGAAGCTACCCAAAAAAATGACACTCCATTGAAGTGCTTAAAAGCTGTTCTCATAAGAATTCTACTGGCCTATGGTAAAAAAGAAAAAAAAAAAAAAAGAAAAAGAAAAAAGACACAAAGAAAACAATCTAAACACCAAAAACTAAACACAATTCCAATCCTTTCTCTGTACCTCACGCGCATAAATTTGCTGCTCCTATGTTTGGTTTTTTTTTCTGTTTATGTGTTTTTACGGATCTAAGTTAAATCTTTTGGCAATATATAAAAATGTAAATAGTAAACTTTATTTATTAAGAATGTCATCTTTTTTTAATTTATATTTACACAATTGTTCATCTAATTTATTTTTTCTATACAGTTTTAAATACTTAGACATATTTTACTGTTCATGATATTTTTATCCTGTTCTTGTGGATTTGTTTTTCCATACTGTTTTCTCTTATCTCAATTACAGGTTGGATCTCACAAATAATAATGTCAGAGACAGAAATATTTTGCCACTGTTGATTACTATACTTTAAAGTTCTATATTATGAAAATATATAATAGCTTGTATGCTTCAATGTGTTGTTGTGTGGTTTTTGTCTCTTGCAGAATGATAAAGGGCTGTCATATATACACACTAACATGGAGAGAGCCCTGGAGCCTGGAACTGGACAATCAATGACAGCACAAGATTTTATCCAATATACATCTATTCCTCTACAAAAATTAATTCCTGAAAGCATCTAATTTTATGTATGCAAAAATTGAAAAACTTTCTTACATGTTATAAGAAAGTTCTGGGAAGCTAAAGCATGTGTCACTCTTGGTTACATACCGCCTTTTGCACACAGCCTTTAATAATATACTTCCAGATGTAAATGCTGGTATGGTCCAAAGACACAAACCAGTGCAGTGGTTCCCAAGTGCTAAGCTGTGGATCAGAGCTAGTTCATAACTAAGTTTTCATTTGTCTAAGGCAAAATGTGGGATAAATTGTTCATTCTTGTGGAGTTCTCTTTTAAGATTAACTCTTTCTTACTCTTCTGGTATTACAATATCATATATGTATCCACACACACATATGCATATGCAGGCGCATATATATATATATATCCATACACACATATATATAATTTTTTTATACGTGAAAATGAGCCTGCAGCTGAAACTGAAATGTTGCTGCTTTCAATCTGTCTAGTGTATCTCATTGTTCATCTTATCACCAGATAGTAGCTATGTGATTTTTGGAAAATTATTTAATGGCTTTAAGATTTAGTTTTCCCGTAAGTGATATGAAAATAATAAAAGTATCTCATAAGATTTTTGCTAGAATTAAATGAGACAAATATGCAAAGTGTTTAGAACAGTGCTGGACACATTATATTATCTCTTGTTATGAGTACTATAAGACCAGACTTACGACAAGTAATAATACACTAATTTTTCTGATATCTACTTATTTTATAAGATAATAAAAACAAAATGCATAAATCATTCAAGAGCTTGCACAGGCATTTTATGGAGTAAATTTATTGGCACTGTCCACTGAGCTGCTAGCTGGCAGTAACAGCATAAGGCAGGTCAAAATATGTGTTTATCTGCTGATAACTACATTTTGAATTTTTCACAAAAAGGCTGTGTGGGAACATCAATGTGAATTATATAGAAGGGCAGGGATAGGGAAGTCAAGAACTACTCATAGTGGGGTGGCTTTTTTTGGACTCTAAAAATATAACTCGTGGAGAAACATGAGGGAGACTACTAAAAAAGAAAAAAAAAAGTCATTTCTAAATTCTTCCAGATAACCGGTTATTTTCAAAGTAAAATAATTGACAAAAGAAAAATGTTTTACACAGTTCTATTCAATGTAAAGATTGAAACAACATTTAGACAATCAGCTCCTGAAAAGAGGCCAATATTTCTCAAACAGAAAGATTAAAAGATGAGAGTTTTAATGTGGCTTTTCATATTCCTTGGTTTTGTCTCAAGAGACAGAAATTCATGGGGAAAAGAGCTTCCTACTGCAAGATGAAAGATCTTAAATCCAGTATTTTCTTCCTTCTTTCTCCAGCCCTAAACACACACACGCGCGCGCGCGCGCGCGCGCGCGCGCGCACACACACACACACACACACACACACACACACACAGAGTAATGGAGAGTTCATTGGACTTTATTAATCTGTCAAATGGGAAATTATTTCTTTCTCACTTCAAAGAAGGCAGAAATATTCAGTATTTTGATTCATTTATATTTATAATGCAAGTTCCAGAATTTGTCTATCAAAAAAACTTAATGTTTAAGTTTAAAAAATTTGGAGGGGAGCATTCTATTATGCTGCACTGGCATTAGTAAATCTATTCAGTTCTTAACCTTTAACACCAGAAATTAAAAGTTTGGACAAAAGCAGAGATTCTCTAACCTTCAACCATAAGAACCCTTGCTGCTTTGCTTTAAACTCTAAAGGAATGATGTTTGAGGTGAGAAATAGCGGTGCCGTACAGAAGCATGGGTTAGCAATGGGGGAAACCAAGTTCAAGTACCATCTGCCCTGTGATTTGGGCAAGTCACTGACCTTTTCAGAGACAGAAGGAATTGGCAATGAGAAAAAGCAAATGGTGTGTTTAAGCAAATGGGACCAGCAGGTGCATCCTTCTAAGTAAGAAAAAGCGTGACACTTTCAAAGAACTGAAAAAAGCGTCAATGTGTTTAGACAGTAGAAAGGGTAACAGTGGCCCAACTAGAGGATGGACAAGTCACTAAGAGCCATAAAAAGGATTTGGGGCTCTATCTTAACAGCAATGCAGAGCTCCTGAACAAAATTTACATGGTCAGATTTGTGGTTGAGAAAAGTCCCTCCAGTGGCAGTGTGAAGGAGTTGACCAACTGATTAATTTTAGATGTGTTTTTTTCTTTCTTTTAATTAATAGACTGGGTATTTAATTAAAAACTTATTTCTTAAATAAGTTTTTAGTTTATAGAAAAATTGAGCAGGAAGTAAAATTCACATTAGATTTCACTTTTAAACAATAAAATATTGGAACAGGAAAATCTAGCTATTTTCTAGGACCAGCTATCAGGAAAATAAAGAAACC